GTTGTAGCTGGAAAAAAATAATACAGATTAATTAAGTGCATTTGTCATTCTTGTTAACCCTGTCATTTTGATGGGTCTTTCACTTATTAAGTCTGTGCTATTTACAAATGTTTTTTTCTGGGGCAGCACACCTCTAAAATGACTCACTGATTTCATTAATGAAAAAAAATCAGGCATGGAAAACACTCTACTTTTAGCAAAATGTTGCAAAATTCCCCTTTTTGGGTTCCAAATTGGTTACATGCATGAACTGAACTTTTCCCAGAAATAGATTTATTACAACTTTGGTAACGCACCAGAGTGCCGCTAAACATGGCTCTAGAATCAAACTTAGAATGTTTGTGCTGCCTGAAGGTAGCATTGATTTTAAGAGGATATTTCTGAACTACAGCTTTTGCAATAAAATTGCTCCATCTCTCTTCTCCCATTCTGCAGTATTTATTAGTTCAATCTCTAACTTTATGTTCTCTGTGCTTTTTCTTCCTGTAAAAAGGGAGTTTTTCCTCTCCGCTGTCGCTGCAAGCATGCTTAGTGTGAGGGATTGCCTTCGAGTCAATGAGTCGATGCAATCAACTGCTTTACCCTTAGATAGAAAACTATGACTGTCTGATCTGGTGAACTGTAAAGTGCCTTGAGATGACATGTGTTGTGAATTGGTGCTGTATAAATAAACTGAATTGAATTAATAAAAAAAGCTTTCTATGTATAGCTTTTACCCATTCTGGTGGTTTAATAACATAAATATATGATTAAAAACAATAAATATTTGTGTTCCTGTTTGGCAATAATTTAGGAGCAAAACTGTTACCATATTTTTGCCTCCTTGAATATAATCACCAATTTGCATTATATAAGGCAGTATTGTGAGGTCAAATTTGGTCTGCAGAGTCAACAAGGTTCACTTAAAGCTAAATAACCACCAGTAATTTAATGTTGCCTACTGTGTGTGATATGTCACCTACTGTAAATTAAGTACAATGAAAAGCTAATATGATAAATTAAACTCCTAATAAGCTACGTTAAAAAGCTAATTTAAAAAGTTAAAAGGTAAACAATGTAAGGTCCAGTTTCAGCAGTAGTGTTCTGAGGAGTTCTGAGGGGGAGAGTGAAAATTTTTTTTCTTACTCTGATTTTTTTTTTTAACAAATAGGGCAGGAAGCTGATTTAGGAATTTATTTTGACTTAGATATTTGCAATTAAAACACAGTTTTTAAAAGTTACAAAGTAAGGTCATATTCTGCTTTTCAATAACATTCCACTTGAAAATTTGAATTTCAGTATTTCACCAAGTGCCCTATAACGGATTAATTGGAAAGATTGCTTATTTTGTTGATATAAGATTTCCGGTTATAATGCATTTGCATTAAATTAAAATGACTCAATTAAAAACTTTAAACTAATGGTAACATTAATCAA